CCCATTTACCATCTGGCCAGCTGCTCTTGCTCTGGGGCTGCTCTTCAAATTCTAAGGAAAAAACTATTTTTCCTTAGATCTAGACCCAGTCAAGTAATTAATCAAATATCAAAGTGTAGTAACAATTCAAGGACTCAAAAAAATGTGTCTTGTAAATATCCTCGGACACTCCTGGAAGATGGGCTTCAGCGTCTATGATGGCTAGGAGCTTGAATATGTCCTCCCAAAGTTCACGTGATGGAGATTTAATCCCCACTGCAACAATATTAGAGGCCATTAGGACTCATGCATGGAGTAATGGATGAATGAACGTTAGCACACCATTGCCGAGAAATAAATGGGTTTGTTATACAAGCAAGCCCACCCTTTCTCTCCCAGAGGTATGGACGCACAGTCTGCCTCTGTCTCTGTCTCTCTGTCTCTCTCTCTCTGCTTCCCACCATGACAGACACAGCAAGAAGGCTATCACAAAACAGAGCCTTAAAACCTAGACTTTATGGGGGCTGGGGATTTAGCTCAGCAGCATAAGCACCTGCCTTGCAAGCAGGTGGTCATGAGTTCGATCCCTGGTACCGATAAAAAGGAAAAAGACAAAAAAAAAAAAAAAAAAAAAACCAGAAACAAAACCTAGACTTTCCAAATTCTGGAAACATGTGCCAAATAAACCTCTATTGTTTATGAATTAACTAGGCCATGGTATTCTGTTATAGCAGCATAAAACAGAATGAGACAGTAAAGAGTAGGAGAAACATGACATATTTGTACAATAATAAAATTCCTGAATTCTTTGTTTCTACCTATGGAAGTAAGAATGCCTATATATATATGATAAAAATGATGCCTTTTATCACTTTGGGTTCTTTGATTTTTAAAAATCTTAATTAGTACATGTGTGCAGCACACAATGGTTACATCCACTCTGAGGATTTGATGTGTGCATATAACACATCTTAATTCTTTTATCACTTTTGGAACCAAAGCAAAGTATAGGGTGATCTCTGCGATCTCCTTGGCTCATGGTATGAAATTATAAATCCTTAATAGTTATGAAAATTCAATGTTAGGACTATGTAGAGGAAACTTAAAACCAGAGGCAAACTTCCTTGGCATGGAATGGAGGAGAGAAGGGGTGCTATCTGGAGGACTCTGGTGACTCATCGTTAAAAATACAAGCGCTGATGACATAAGGAGAGCCACAACTCAGGGATTTTGTTTAATGCATGATACTAACTTTAAACTTCCAGCAGCTCGAAAGGGCAGAAGCATGACTGGAATGAAAGTCTCAGCTGGCTCGAGATGAATATGAAGTCAGCAGTTCCAGGAAGGACCCACGTGCGCCCCTCTCTGCAGACCTGCTGGAGTTCCGGGAACGTTTTTCACCTCTCCTGATCCAGGAGGCTCCCTCTGCCAAGACTCTCACCTCTACCAACCCCTTTCCGTCTCTGCCAAGGCTTTCATAGAATTAGTGAGAAAACGGTGCTGCTGACTTCCTGGCATCATAGTCAGTGACTTGGTTCATTCATGGAACAACTATCTATTGAGGATCTTTCTCCAGCTTTTCTTACATTTTTCCTGCTTTGAAAGATATTTCAGTTTTTGCTGTTACCTGCCTTGGGTTTCCTGGGGGAGTGGTCTGGAGATACCCTGGGAGAAATGATAGGGTTTTCTTTTGAGATAGACACATTGACCCTATGAGCTTCGGTAGCACAGTCACAAGGAATTTACAGGACCAAGAAATGTAATAACTCTGGACCACTCATTTGTGGCAGGATTTGTTGGTTTTCTGTCAGTATGTTCTATGTCAAGGATGTTTTATATCAAAGATATTCCTTAAGTCAAATATAGTCACATAGATAGTGGTGGACATAGGTTCTTACAACTGTTAGTTCAAGCTATTTTAATCGTGACCCAAATAAGTAGATGGTAAAACAGTTACAAATTTCTGAAGAATCAGAAGCCTAAAAAATCTAAAGAGCTTGAAAGAAAATGCATTATCTTATCTATTCCAATCTATTTGGCTATTTGAATTTAAGAATTCCTAAAGAAATAATCTTTGGAATTATATGACTACTATTTACTTATACAAATGTTCAAATATAAGATATTTATAATTTATAGTATAATTACGTCAAATATTAGTGACAAAATCTTAAGGGTCTTGACGTGTATTGAGGAAAGATAAAGAAAATTTGTCCAAAGTCTTAAGATTTAACTAAGAAGAACTGATGACTCAAGCAACCACAAAATAGACTCATCCTACATTATAGAAAACAAGAAATTCAAAACAACAGTTACCCCCAAAAAGAAACTATGCTTTAAAAGAAAAAATATTCAAAACAGAGCAGAAAATTTGCTTTTCATCATTTGGCCTATGGTGGCAACCCATTTTGAATGAAAGCTATTTTGCAAAAATTCAAAACATGGGTTAAAGCTAATAACATAAGTGTTTTGTAGCTTCTGAAACAATATATAATGTCTAACTATTTAAAACAATTCATCGGGGCCAGGGGTTTAGCTCAGTGGCATAAGTGACTGCCTGGCAAACACGAGGTCATGAGTTTGATCCCCGATGCCAAAACAAAATAAAATACCAATTCATCGAACTGGCTGGGGATTCACATATATCATCTTGGAAGGAACAGTCGTATCTCAACCCTGAGTCATGATTTCTCATAACCCTTCTCCCTGTCTTAGGAAGCTTGAGAGGTAAACCTGAAAAAGAATGGGAGTACAAATAAAGACAATTAGAATCTAATCATACCAAATATTTCTATAATGTAGTGTACCAGTAAGCTTTGAAATCTCGTAATATTGCTTTCATTTTCCTATTTTCTAGTGTTTAAAAGATTTAAGAAATCTTAATATATTACACTCGTGCTTTCAGTTGAATGATTAAAGAGCTACCAGTAATATTTATATAGTGGTTTAGTTTGTTAAATGTATGAAGTCTTAATTTATAAGTTATCTTGGTATTGTGTGAAAATATGGAAATCTGATAATTGTCAGAAGCTTATAAACTGGACTTCAGACAAAATCCAAGTAGTGAATAACACTTTCCTTAGACAGAAGTCTGTTGGGCACTAAAGAAATTGCCAATACTCACGAGAAGTAAGATAACCCTCAAACTGATTTCTACATCGGCCTATGCCACGAGTATCTCACTAACCAAATTAGGAGAAGTCAATCACAAAAATGAACCTATCCTACAGAACATCTAACAATTAATGTCATAATGAGTTTAGTCCATTCATATTGAGCTATTATTATAAGGAAGCAGGCTTCCTTCTCCAACTCTAGCGTGCCATGTGGAAGGAATCACTTTTGGAGTGAAACCTCAGGCTGCCGGGGCTGGGGATTTAGCTCAGCGGCATAAGTGCCTGCCTTGTAAAGCAGGCAGTCGTGAGTTCGATCCCTGGTACCGATAAAAAGGAAAAAGACCAAAAAAAAAAAAAAAAAGAAAAGAAAAAGAAAATACCCCTGGGCTTTTCTTGGGGCTAGCGCTCCCACCCCAGGTACATTTCTCCCTGTAGCAGCCAGCCCTAGGGGTTGACCTTGTGTCTGCAGAGTCTGGGTGAGCTTTCCAGGTTGCTTCATTCTTCTCTGTCTGTTGTGCTCCATTTCTCCAGTCTCCCTGTAGTATCTAATTTTTCCGTTATTTCCCTCCTGATTCATAGCGATCTATTTTCTTCAAGTTATTTTCCAGGTGTCTGGATTCTGATTCCCAGAGAGGTTATGTTTTGCAACTGATTGTCATTTTCCTCCCTCTCAAGAAGTAAATATCACGTGCAGGGGAGAAGGCTCACCACTCCACTGCAGGCAGCTCACCAGTGATCCAGGACCTCCGGATGACATAGGGGAAATGTAACTCCCAACCTGCTAGATGTCTGATGTGCCAAGTTCATGTTCCCAGAAACTGAAGAATAAATTCTAAGGAACAGAGGTTAAGGATGGAAAATCTGATTGAGGGAGAGATGGTTCCTGAGAGAGAGACAAGAGGGACCCAAAAGTGGGTGACCATTGAGCCTACTTCTTAAAGGAAGTTTTATAAAACAAAATCACAAGGTGGCTATAAAATTACAAGTGGGACAAAACCACGATCAGCCAATAAGATTACAAGTACAGCTGCTTTGGTAATATTGATCCAATGGGGAAGTCAGTCATGTAGCAAGTATACATGGCAAGAACAAGGACCTTTTTGGAAGAGATGAGTCAGGAGGTCCTGGTCATCCACCTGGGTGGCTGATGTCTATTGAGACTTTATTGGACCAGGTGATACCAACTATACCAGTTGGTGATATACCAACTGGTGATACCAATTATTATTACTTATCCCTGGGGAGGCATGTAGGACTATCTTTATCTTGAGGCCTGGACTTAAATGGATGCACTTCCAGCCACAGTGAGATACTCGTGGCATACAGTCTGACTGCCTATGTTTCAAGTAACATATCTGTGTATGCCACCGGGATTCATAAACTCTGTATCAGCATTAAAAATACAAAGTTTAAGAAAGGCATTTTATTGGGTACTTTATTGGAAAAGAAGGGAAGGAGCAAACAGACAACTACCCTGGTAAATCAGGGTAGGGGACTCCGGAAAGGTGAAGGACCCCAGGGCCCTTTGTTCTCAGCTTTTTTATTGGGGGTTGGGGACCTCCCCTATCTGGAGTTTGTCCTGATCTATTTAGTTCCTTGGGCTATCACAGATGGATTCCAAGCCCCAAGACCCCTAACTCCCTGGGTCATCATCTAAATGCAAATTCTTAAAAGAGCCTGTCAGCATGGTATCTTTTGAATTTATAGGTTTGTTAGAAAGAAACTTACATACATACTTTAGTTAACAACCTTGTTTTATATACTAAATAAGAGCTTTCTTCTAAGTGGATGGCCTTTGTCTACCTTGCATTTTATTGGAGGTGGGTGAAGGGCAGCGACCTTGGTTTCCAACACCTGGCTTCCTGCCTCCTCTCTTGTCTTGTTAATTGCTTTCTCCAGGGAAACTGTAACTCCTTTCTAGTCAGGATTAGCCTGAAAGCCCATTTGAGGCCTTGCCTGATTTACAAACCCTTTTCTCCTGCATAAGGTTTAAGGAATACTACAGAGACTTTGATAAGATCTTTAAACGCAGCCACTGACCACACAGTTTATCAGTGGTAGAGCTGGGAGCTGCTGCAAGTTCCCCTGCTTCCTATACAGAGCTGTCTAACGTGAGGCTGCTGCCATCAGAGCAAGAATTTACACAGCTACACTTGACAAGTCTAAATAATACATGTGAGGTATAGAGGACCCTCTTCTGTGCCGAAATCAGAAATCTATTCAAAAGGTCTGATTCTGGGGATTCCAAGGTAAGTTGCAGGAAGAGTTTTCTTCTCTTTTGGTTTTTGGACTTGCAGCATCTTAATGAATGCTTTTCCAAAGATGACTCACAGCAAGCCTGACTGAAATCTGTAAACCTGGTGTTCTCCTAGGCCCGTCAATAGTAACTGCAAACCAGCTGCTGCAGCAGTTGGAAAAATCCCTAAACCTTCAGCTGATGATGGTCGCTCTCCTTGGCAATGAAGCAGAATTTAAGAGACCAGAAGAAATCTTCAGAGTAAATCTTTATTAATTCCCAGATGTGCCACTTGTAACTCTACTTCCTAGAGTAAGAAAACAGTAATTATCTGTGAGTCATAAACCTTGTGATTCACTGTCATGATTATTATTTTTCTCCAACTAAATAAACTATATACACCCTTCATGATTTAATTTTGTACTCTTGCTGCCTAGCTACAGATAGAAGCTTGATTATTATTATGTCTAAAATGTTGCTTTAATAATTGTTTTAGCCTCTCATCTTACTCTCACCTCATAGGAAATTATGGCTTCATTGGATGGGTCCTCTGCAGGCTGCAATCAGATGCCAGCCAACCTTGGTGAAGATTGTTTCACTGATTGGCCACCAGTCAGGTGAATGTCACTTGTATTCCCAGAAGGAAGGCGTTTTAAGCAACAACTCTTATGGGAGCAGAACTCTTGATTTATGCACCTCTAGATTCAAAGAGTTTCTAATTGGTTATTTAAACCTAAACTACAATATTTCCCTTGGAAGCCTTTTTACTATGTATAACTAGCATGATCAGAGATCTTAGATTTATTTTTTAAGTATAAAAGAAAAACATGCATAAAATGAATGCTATTGGGATATGGCCTGACTTACTTTTTTTGTTGCTGAGACACAATACTTGACACCTGCAAATTAAAGGAAGAGAAAAGTGGGGACCCAGTGGCACGGCAAAGGGACGAATCACTGCTCACCTCAGATAGGAAGCAGGGAGGCAAGGAGGGAGATGCAACCTTTCTAGTCACATCTGCCTCTCCTGATCAGCCCCCATCTCCTAAGTGAAAGGCTTGTTGACCCAGACTGGACACTGTAGCCAGAAAAAGCCTCAGCCGGAATTAGGGAGCTCCTGTCCCCCCCCCCCCCAGAGATTTACCTGTAACCCTATATCCCCCCACCCTTCGGAATCTGCCCCTGACACCAAACATGTGCCAATGAAATACCTGTGCATCTCTAATGGCCTTAGGGCACTGCCCTAAGCTTAGGCTACTTTATATTCCCCCACGCCACGCGTCAGCGAGAGAGATAGGCAAACTCCAGCGGCCAGCTGGCCAGTCCTCTCTCCCCGTGTTCCCAGAATAAAGGCCTCTTTTGTTTTATACTCCTCATCTTTTGGAAATATTTTTCATCCTCTGGAAATAATCCTATCACTAAGAGCAACAATGCCTTTATAATTCCATCGTAGAATTTATCCAAGTCTATAAAATTAGGAAGTTTGATGGCATTTTATAAACCACTTTCCCGTTTGTTATTTATTTTGACTTACAGAAACTCTGTAAGGGAAAAAACAAAAGGCACACATTACAAGCTGTATTTTTTGTTTGGTTGCTTTTTTGACATAAGGTTTCACAAAATTACCCAGGCTGGTCTCTTTTGTGATCCTCCTGAAATTACAAGCACACTCTGCTATCTTTGTTTTTGTAAATGAATGCAATACATCACATAAACAAACTATACATTCTTTAATAGTTAAAGAAAATTGATATAAAATTGAAACAATTTATCCTTAAAAGTATTAAACAGTAAAGCAGGGGTTAAACCTTCACCTCTATCAGTCCCAGACTGCATTTTAAAATAGTTTTTCTTAATTGGACTACATCGTAATTCAAAAATTCATTCTCCACTCAGAAAAAAAGTATAAATGTTCTCTTCCTGAATTAGTGTCACTTATTCCAACTAACTGTCTCCACCATTCTTTAAAGATCTAGTACTTTAGTCTTCAAAGACTTCACCCATTAAGGCTTTAATTTGCCACCAGCTTGCATGACAAGCCGTGCAACTATTGGGCCTTGGTTGTATACCTTGAAACATTCGTATGTGGAAGTCCTAACTCCCAGTATCTCAGAATGTGAGGATCCTTGGAGATATAAAGAGTTTCTTAAAATGAGGCCATTAGGGTGAATTTTTGCCAAAGACTTTTTTGATCATCTATTGAGATGATTGTGTGATTTTTGTCCTTGGTTGTGTTTATGTGGTATATTACATTTACTTATTTTCATATGTTGAACCACCCTTCCATCTCTGGGATGAAGCCTACTTGGTCATGATGTATGATCTTTTTAATGATTTGCTGCGTTTTATTTGCCAACATCTCAAGGATTTTTCTATCTATGTTCTAAAGAGATTGGCCTATAGTTTTCTATTTTGTTTGAGTGCTTGTCTGGTTTTGGAATCAAGGTAATGCTACCTTCCAGGAATGATTTTGGCAGTGCTCCTTTTCCTTCAATTTCATTAAAGATTTTGAAGAGTACTAATGTTAGCTCTTTGCTAAAGTTCTTGTAGAATTCAGTAGTGAATCCATTGGTTCTTGGACTTTTTTATTTTAAAAATTTTTTTTGGTACTGGGAATCGAACTGACGACCTCGCGCTTGCCAGGGAGGCGCTTATGCCACGGAGCTAAATCCCCAGCCCCTCCTGGACATTTTTTAGTTGGTAGGATTTTTATTACTACTTCAATTTCATTGCCTATTATTGGATGATTCAGGGTTTTATATCTTCTTTATTCAATTTTATTAATATACATGTGTCTAGGAACCTATTCATTTCTTCTGGATTTTCCAATTTATTGGAGTACAGTTTTCAAAGTAGCTATGAATAATCTTCTGGATATAAATGGTGTTTATTATGATTTCATTTTTTGTTGTTGTTTCTAATTGAGTTGATATGATTTGCTAAAGACTGTCAATTTTATTTATTTCAAAGAATCAGCTCTTCCTATCATTAATTTCTGCTCTGATCTTAATAGTTTCATTCTTATATTATCTTTGAATTTGGTTTTCTGCTTGGATTAAGAATATGATGCTATTCAGGACCCCTGGAGGTCTGTTGGTCAGGCAATTCTCTTTGGAAACTGACTATCTGTAATCTATTGTGAGACTAAGGGAAAAACTATATTAGAAACATTTTAACATCAAAGCAGCTACTAGATTGTTACAGAAAGAAATTAGTCTGTAGGCTGAAAAAAGAAATATGAAGAAATTATAAGTATAGAGACATTTTTTGGTATGAGTCATGACCCTGGGTATCTTATAAAAACATCTGTCAGGTGTCCTTTAGCTATCAGGGACCTCCCCAGAGTGTGATCAGAGGTCATCAGCTCAAGGGCCCATGAGCTCTGAACAGGTGCTGTATGAAGAGTACATAGATTAGACCCTAGAAGACATGTAGTCTCCTATAGAGTAGAAAATGTATTGCTTATACAATTCCCCAAGCTCTCTTCTAAATCCTTTATAAACCACTAGTAAAGAGCCCTTGTGGGTATTCTTAGAACCCTCTCCTGGGTAGTGGGAGCTTTATTTTCCTGCCTTTTTAGTTTTTAAATAAATTTGTTTGTACCCTACCTCCTTCATCCATAGTTTCATTCTTCATCACCGTGGGACACCACTGTGAGCCTGGTAAACAATTAAAAATATCAAACAATTTTAGTTCCTATCTAAGTCTGTATATGATGTTATCTTTTAAATATGTCCATTGTAATCAGTATTGTTATAGTAACTAGCTCTATAGTGGGAAAGGGCCAGATTTATAGTGTTTGATGATTTCCTACCATAGCTACCATAAAACTATGTAAAGGTTTGAAAAATGACTTGTGAAAATTTGACAGTTGAGTCTGCTGCTGGTACAAGCTGGCTCCAGTATAACCCTCATACTACCAACAACACCAAGCATAACCCTCACAGTAAGCTTCTACACCCTTATTAGTAATATTACTGTCACATTATTGGCAGCTCTATTTTACAGATAAGAAAGCCAAAGGCATAAAGCGATTATTTGTTCAGGGTCATCCAGTAAATGATAAAGTAGGATACAAACCTGGACTCTGAACCCAAAGCTACTCTAACAATATATACACTATTGAACCCAATTAATAAATACATGTAAGATGAAGCATTATGGTTAAAATTATATATATATATATATAATTACACATTATGTATATGTATTCAATATGTTATGTATTGAATTGGGAGACCATTAGCCTTAGCCAGCTCTGGTATCTCAGGTTCCTATGTAAGCAAACTGGATCCCAATGGGAACTGTAAAGTTGACCTTAAAGTTAACCAATCAGAAATATCACTAACATCTAACTAGAGACTTCTCATTTTAACCAATAAAACGCACATGTTTCATCTTGCTTCTGCAAATGCTTATAAAAGTTTCTCGCTGCTCTACTGCAGGGAAACAGAGGCTGTGTTGTCTGGTGTTGCCTAATTCATAGATCTATTGGCTCAAATAAATTCTTCAAAATTTTAATGTATCTAAATTTATCCTTTAACAATATTAAAATTTTTATTTGTATCTTTCCAGATGAAGGCTTCTGAGCTCTGATGTCCTTCACATTGGAACACGATGGCATAGCTGCCTCAGCTGTGAGCACTGAAGATTTTCCTTTTTGGGTTCAAGTTGTGTTAGTCTTGTGGCCCAGAGCTGAATCCATTCACTGGACAGATTGCTTTTCATTTAAAAGTTTGCTCATTATTGAAAAACCAAAATTTTTCTGTGAGTACTAATAATAATACCAGTGATTCACTGAATACTTACAATATACCAGAGTCTCTACATATTTCAGTTAATCCTCATAACCACCTTATGAAACAGATCCTGGAGGTTTTCTTCATATGCAAGAAACCCAGGCACAGAGGAGGTTAAAAATAGTTTAAAATAGCTGGCTGGGCTCCGTGGTACATGTCTTTAATTTTAGCAGTCTGGTAGGTTGAAGCAAGAGGATGGCAAGTTGAAGCCCAACCTGGGCAACCTAGTGAGACTCTTGTCTCAAAATACAACATAAAAACTAACTTTGGTTATAGTTCAGTGTGAAGGTCACTGTTATGGTTTGATAACTGGTGGTCAACTTAACGCCAGCTGGATTACATCAGCAAGCATTGAGAGAAGATGCTCCACCTGAGAAGGGTTGCCAGGATAAATAGGTGGAGAAGAAGAGAGGTGAGAGAGGGATTGAGGCGTTATGGAGGCATTGTTAGTTCTACAAGTTGCTGTCTGAGCTGTTGGTTCTCCTGGAGAAGCTTTGGTCTTCACATCGAGCATTGCTTCCTGGCTCCGGAGGGGAAGACATGTGCTGCCTGGTCTCCAGGGTGAACTCCTCACGCTGCTTCCTGGCACGTTCCCGATTGTGCTTGTCGTCGTCGGAGCTCGGGGTCTCCAGGTCACTGAGGACAGCTGTGGTTCCTTTTAGGACAGCCCCGCTCTTTGTTGTGAGTGTGACTTCTCAGCTCCAGTGTAGAACCCTCATCCCACTAGCACAGCTCCTTCATCCTGCTGGCATGGACTTTCTGGCTTCCACTGCTGACCCTTGGGTCTTCCCAGCACGGATCCATAAAAGAGACTGGCATGAGTCCTTCTTGTGGGCTCTGGACTTCCAGTTGGACTCGTGGAGGCGTTGTTCTGAGCTCTGGGTTTTTATCTGGACTCATGTGGGACATTGCCATGGGGTTTAGACTCTTGACTAAATAATCTATGTTGTTGGTGTTGTGGATGGATTTCCTGCATTCTCCTGTGTTAACTTCTGGTGACCATTATAAAAATATTATAAACTCCATGTCCTGATCTGAATTGTTCTCGTGTACAACCTCTGAGAACAACAGAAATTGGTACCAGAGGAGTGGGGTCATTGCTGTTATGTTGCCTGGTCATGTGACTTGAGAGTCTTAGAAATTAATTTAAAAATATTTGAGAGACTGGCCAAAGAGACAGCCCCTGTGTGCTGTATTATTTTGGAGACTCTGGTCGGAACCTGGAAGATCGGAGTACTGATGGAAATGCTGCCAATTAAGATGAAGCTTGGGAGGCTTCTGTTGAGAAAGACTGCATTGTCTGCTGGAGTCCAGGTAGTATATTGTGCTTTAGATGAAAGTTGGTCTTCTTGTTTGTATTTAGAGATATTACCTGGGTGGCAGAAGAATTTCAGTGCAGTCTATGAGAACTTTCAACCAGATGTATTTTGAAATTTAGAGCAAAGGGCCAGTAGAATAATTTAAAACACTTGGCCAAGAAGAAGGCTCCATTGGAACTGTGGGTTGTAAAGATGAAACAGAGAACATGGTTGTTTAGAATAGGATAATAGGAAAATCAAGAGTTTATTTGAATTGCAGGAGATTCTTATATTTTAGTCTTGCCATGCCATGTTAAAGCTAATGGGAAGCAAGGACTGTGATTGTAATTGTTCTTTTAGTGTGATTTTAATGTTTTATTTGTTTGTAACCCAGTTGATTTGTCAAAGTACTGTGTTTTAATGTTGAACCTTGGTCACCCTTTAAATGTTTTGTTTTTGATGCAGGAATTAAGTCTAAAAAATTGTGAATATATGTAATTGTTTTATTAATGTAACAAATCTGCCACTAAGGACTATAGTTAAGGTAATGCGTGTGGTTATTAAGTTGACCAGGGGTGGATTGTTATGGTTTGATAACTGGTGGTCAACTTAACGCCAGCTGGATTACATCAGCAAGCATTGAGAGAAGATGCTCCACCTGAGAAGGGTTGCCAGGATAAATAGGTGGAGAAGAAGAGAGGTGAGAGAGGGATTGAGGCGTTATGGAGGCATTGTTAGTTCTACAAGTTGCTGTCTGAGTTGTTGGTTCTCCTGGAGAAACTTTGGTCTTCACATCGAGCATTGCTTCCTGGCTCCGGAGGGGAAGACATGTGCTGCCTGGTCTCCAGGGTGAACTCCTCACGCTGCTTCCTGGCACGTTCCCGATTGTGCTTGTCGTCGGAGGAGCTCGGGGTCTCCGGGTCGCTGAGGACAGCTGTGGTTCCTTTTAGGACAGCCCCGCTCTTTGTTGTGAGTGTGACTTCTCAGCTCCAGTGTAGAACCGTCATCCCACTAGCACAGCTCCTTCATCCTGCTGGCATGGACTTTCTGGCTTTCACCGCTGACCCTTGGGTCTCCCCGGCACGAATCTGTAAAAGAGACTGGCGTGAGTCCTTCTTGTGGGCCCTGGACTTCCAGTTGGACTCGTGGAGGCGTTGTTCTGAGCTCTGGGTTTTTATCTGGACTCATGTGGGACATTGCCATGGGGTTTAGACTCTTGACTAAATAATCTGTGTTGTTGGTGTTGTGGATGGATTTCCTGCATTCTCCTGTGTTAACTTCTGGTGACCATTATAAAAAATATTATAAACTCCATGTCCTGATCTGAATTGTTCTCGTGTACAACCCCTGACTACAACAGTCACACAACTAATAACTATCAGAGCCAGTATTTAAGCCATGGGAATATATTTTAGAGCCCGAATGGTTCACTTTTATAATATCCTATTGAGGTCCTAAACCCTGTTGTTGTAGTTTAAATCTAGATGTCCCCCAAAGCCTTGTGTTCTCATACTTCGGGGAGGTGATTGTATCATAGGGGTGTGATACGCATCAGTGGATTAGTGAACTGATGAATTTAGAGCTAGGTGTGATGTTGGGAGGTGAAGACTAGTCAAAGTAGATGGGGACTTGGCCTCCTTTGATCTCTCTGCTTCCTGCCTGCTATGCCATGGACTGTTTCTCCTCTGCAACGGCCCTCTGCCATGCTGCCCTGCCTTGGAGCCAGCCAACTAAGGTTGTGAGCCAAAATAAGCTTTTCCTCTTTAACTTGAAGATACTGGGTATTTTCTCCTAGCAATGGGAAGGTAGCTGAGACAACTGCATACCAAGGTCTTGGTTGATTTTATGTCCCAGCAGCCCACCTCCATGCTGTGTTCCCTGAAGAGACTTTCTGGTATGTTTTAAGTGTCTCTCACTGTCTTAATCACAACCCCAATCACCCCTATAGTCCCGCCTGAAGTAGATGTTTACTGTGAACACAGGGGCCAGTCCCTCTTCATTATCTCAGGGCTGCTCTCCAAGTCAGTTTTGTGTGAGTCTGTAATGCCATGTGATAGGAGCCACTCATCACTGGCACTCAGAGCACTCAGTCCTGGGAACTAAAGGTCCAGGTTTCACATGATGGAGCATAGGAAACTCCTTCACCTGCAAATCACTATGGGTGGTGACTGACTCTCCATGTTTTTTTTTTTTTTTTTTCTGGGTCCTGGAACAAAAATGCTAATGGAGCCCCAGAGACCATTTGAAATATTTAGAATTTGAAATCAAGCCAGCAAATTGTTAAAATATATTCTATTCTTTGTAGTCACTTAGGAATCATGGTCCAAACTTAGAATTATCCAACTCCTAGCTCAAGGCCTGTCCCACCCTTTGCTCTGTCTGTACACCATGTGGACACTCTGGCCACATACATCCAAACATGCTCCCCTTTCCAAGGAATGGCTTCCCTGGCCACCCCCTAAGTCTAGAGGTGCACACACTGAAACTGTGACCTGCCCTAGAAGGAAAGACCTAAGGAGAAGAGCTGTTTAGGACCTGGATGGGAATTCAAGGTATCTGGGCTAGAAATTCCAGACCCAAGGGCCTGGAAGAGGACTGGAGTTTTGTCCTCCAAAGCACAGAGCTCAAGACCAACACTCTGATGCAGATCTGAGGTTGGTACTGGAGGTAGGAGCCATGCATGTGTTCTTCCTGGAGCACAGCTTTGAACCTGTGGGCTTGAATTGTTGAATGATCCAAGCATTTAACAAATGAATGAGATGAGGTGAGGTGGATATCTCTTATGTATAATGTAATTTCATGTTTATGAGGCAATAGCTTCATATCAATGAATAAAAGTCACTTGTTCAGCTGCTGATATCAAAAAGATCAAAGTTAGAGCTAATGCATATGATTGAACTAATGGCTCCTCATAAACACTGAGACATTCCAAACAGAACTTCATTCTAAACAAAAGGAAGACCTCTCAACACTTTCCTATGCACTGCTGAGTTATTGAGTGCTTCCTCTGTCCATAGCTCCTCTCTCCAGTATGCAAATTATACGAATAATTTTCTTTTTTTTTTAGTTCACAGAGGGTGAAAGCAGATGATTTCTGAAAATTAAAGACTTGACAGTTAAATTTCCTAAATTTCATCAGCAAAAAATGGAATAAAGGAGTTCCTTGCCCAGACCCTGAGTGCCTGAAATGGAGAGCCCAAGTGCATGGCGCACACCTGAGGATGACAGGCCACTGTGCGGGGAGGCTCCAGGGAGCTGCCAGGCCAGCTCTCTGTGTGGCAGGGAATCCTCGCACTTAGTGTCAGACTCACCCGGAGTGTCCTAGAGGCAGCAGAATGCTCAAGCCCTCCGAGAGAGTCCCACTCAGAAGGTGGAGCCCAAATATTTGCATTTTTACCAAACCCCAGGAAGTGCCATCCCCACGGACGGTCCTGGGCTGTGGCCACCGCACGTCTTCCTCGAGGACGGCTCCCTTTCCGCTTTTCTGATTACCTGTGCGACAACCCATTTACACAGGGTGTAAATCTCCACACAGGAGATGAAAATCAACACTGAGGGCAATTGCACATCAGGAAAGAAGAAAAGAAGTGGGGAAAGAGGAGGAGTATAGAGGGAGGGAGAGGAGAAGAGGGAGGAAGAGAAGAGCAAAAAGGAAAAAGGATGGGCAGTTTCCCAAGCCTGTATCCACTCTATTTAAGCAAAACACCCTCAATAAACCAAGGCAACAACAGCTCCTTCCTTCTTCCCTCTTCTTCCTCCTCTCTTTCTCGTTCTTTCTTTCTTCCTTCTCCTCCTTCCTTCCTTCCTTCCTTCCTTCCTTCCTTCCTTCCTCCTTCTGCTAGGAATGGAAGCCAGGGCTTTGCCCATGCTAAGCACACAGCATACCTTTGAGCCACACTCTGGGAGGGCCCCATGATGTTAAATTTTTGAACAGTTGTTCAGTTCTACAAATACACTGTCAATCCACCAAATTATATGTATTTTTAAAATTTTTTTTAAAAAACTTTTTTTCCTCCCAGTTTGTATTTGTGGCTTCTGCGTTGCACTTTGCTATTGCAAAGAACCACTTCACCACCAGGAAGACTGAGGTCTTAGCAGGTTTGGGTTGGAGGATCCCTTTAGGACAAGAAGGCAAGCTCAAAGTTAGACAGTGTTTATACTCAATTCAACCTTCACTGCCCATTTACAAATAAATCTAAGTTAAGTTTTCCAGTTACTCTCCATTTCCGTGTGGCATCCTCTAGTTACAAACAGTCCATAAATACTAAAATATGTAGCCACGCTGGGGTGTTGGTTGACCAACAATTCCTTACATGACTATCTAGTTAGCAATTATGAAAACCAACCAAACAACAGAGAAATCTTTTCTTTAACCTGATCTTGATTTTATGAGCTTTTGCCACAACTCCATTCTTAAAGAATAAATGCAGAATGTTTTTATAGTGTAGAAAAGGGATCAAATCAGAATGAAATTATTAACATGACTATTCACTCATTAAATATCAAATTATGTTTGGTTAAATTTAAATCTATAGAAAAATGAGTTGAAATGGGAGAACAGCAAATATTAATTGACACCATTTCAAATTTCCTAAGAACAACAAAGCATTCACTAGGCCAAACAGTCCCTACATTCACTCATTCTTTTTTTTTTTTTTTTTTTTTTCATTCACTCATTCTTAATCAAAAAAATTGATGGCTAAGGTGAGACTACCTGATGAGCAGTAAGGAGACATTGAGTGAAGGGCAACAGGCAGCATCAAGGTCATGGTAAAGGGGTGGGTGTGTACCATGTCCTCACACAGCACTGAAGGACTTCTCATCAGGGAAGATGCTGTAGCACCAAGTACCAAACGGTCACTAGCAGAAAGTGTCCCAGCAGCTGGTCAGAGCGGAATCCAAGGAACACTGGGAGACACTAACTAAGCATCAAAATTTTCTATAAGTTTGCCATGCATACAAATCATTTGAGTCAGGCCTAATGCATGAGCCTGTTCTAGGCTTTTTACTTTATTGAAATCCTATAATAAACTGTTGTGTAAGTTGCTTAAATGTTATAAAGTGCATTGCAGATTCCAGGCGAATTCCAGACTTTTTAGTGCTGTTGTTTTAGCTATTTTCTTAATTGTATTTTCATTTGGGGAGGGAGGGCAGTAAATAGAGGTCTACATCTGTCTATAGATATGTGTCATCTGTACTTACAGGATTTATGTAGTTGATCAGATACTGATCTCGGGAAGACAACGCCATTGAAAGAAGAATTAAATTTCCCAAAGGAAAGGAGCGCACCCCACCCCACAGGGCCACCTGGGGAAGTACTGTACCAGCTTTGATCAGGAGGCATAAAGGAGCAAAGGGAGAGTTCAGGCTTAGTTTTCACTAGCGTTTCTGCAAGAAAGGGAGGCAGGGCAGGATTAGCTAATTTGAACAATTCTGGAGGGCTCTGGAGTATCCGAGTGCCTCTGATTGTTTGGTACCTGGCCTTGGAATGACTTAGGGCAGGGGAAATATTGGATTGGTGTATGAGAGCTACATAAAGAAAGTGGTGGTTTGCATACAAAAGACAAATTTTAAATAAGTCATTTACTATGTTTAGGAATCAGTTAGCCCTGAGGGGGGCAGCCACTCCTTTAAGGACCCTAAATGTTACAGCATCAATAACACTAAAAATGAGAAAATATAACTAAAGTAATTGGCCCTGTGATAGATAGACCAAACAGAAAAATACAGAATCTCAAAAGTAGAGTTAGGAAAAGATAGAAAAGTAATCATTTTTTGGTGCAGTATAATAATACCATCAAACAAAAAGGTAGTTTATAAATCCTACTCCGTTGCTGTTATGGTTTATACCTAAATGTCCTCCCAAGGCCTCATGCTCTCGTAGGTGGGGCTTTGGGGAATGACAAGGTCATGGGTTGGTTTACCACAGTTCTAGATGGGGGCGATGTACTTACCTAGGAGGGAAGACACAGCTTGAGTGTGAGAGAACTAACCTGTAGGCTTGTGGACTGGATGGAATAAAAAGGGAAAGAAGTCACACTGCTTCCCACTTTTCATGGCATGCCACAAAGTGTCTTTTCTCTGCCATACTGTCCTGCCTTGGAGCTAGAAGACCACTGACTGAAACCTCTACAGACTGCAACTGAAAATGGAACTTTTTCTTCTTTGACTTGTGAGTGTCAGATATTTTGTCCCAGTAATGAGAAAGTAAAACAGTTGCTATAAAAAATGAGTATAATATAAACATTCATATAAATACTAGATATTGAACAATGCACTGATATTGCAAAGCCAAGAACATACAATGAAATA